CGCCGGCCGCGGCGGCCATTGGAGGGTGAACCAACAGCAAAGGAAGACCTTTCTCTCTGTCTCTCTCTCTCAATGTCCACTCTGCCTGTCAAAAAAATAAATTAAAAAAGGCAGTAAAATATAGTATAATGTAATCTAATACAAAGATTATAATTTTATTTTAGGCTTTTTGTTTATTAGTGATGAAAAGTACTTGACTCTTTCAATGAGGGAAATAAAATTATTGCAGTCAAATGTGAAGAGTTAGTTGTTAGTTTTTTCTCAATGGACCTTGTTAGGGTTTTGTCTGATTTGAACACCCAAAGGTTGAGTTGGTATGTTCATGCTACTCTTGGTTTTAATTCTCTGTTTCCTTCTACCTGTTTATGGGAGAGAACAGGTGTCTGTGAAATAAAGGAGAGTGTTCTTCCCCGGGGCACTAATACTCACCTTATTTCAGCCTTTGGAATGCAGCCCTGTACAATACGTACATGACTGGGGCTGCTCTATTCCTCACATCTCAACTGTCCATCCCCTGAGAGAGGGACACTTTGGCTCCTACTCTGTTTGAAGAGGAAGAATATCACTGCATCACTTAGTGGATTTTCCTCTGAGCCTCAGAGGTCAGAGGCCAGGTCCAAAGGCTCATGAAAACCACTGGACTGATTCTTGAGTCATAACTCACAGACGCAATTGCAGGATGCAAAATATATTGAATGTTTTTTAAAAGAGTAACCAATTATTGAAATTGTCCATAGAATTTCATTGTAACTTTCTATACTTTTATTAAGTATAAGCCTTCAATTTAATATTCGCTATTTTACTTATTGCAACAATGTCATTATCTAGCCCCAAACTTCCTTTACCACTCAACTCTCCAAGCTTGGAAAAATGTACCCAGTTGCTGTCATTCAGCTTGGACTCTAAATGTTGGAGCCAGAGGTAAATTTTTGTCTTTTTTTTTTTTTTTTGACAGGCAGAGTTAGATAGTGAGAGAGTGGGACAGAGAGAAAGGTCTTCCTTCCATTGGTTCACCCCTCAAATGGTAGCTACAGCTGGTGCGCTGTGCCGATCCGAAGCCAGGAGCCAGGTGCTTCCTCCTGGTCTCCCATGCGGGTGCAGAGCCCAAGCACTTGGGCCATCCTCCACTGCCTTCCAGGGCCACAGCAGAGAGCTGGACTGGAAGAGGAGCAGCCGGGACAGAATCTGGCACCCCAACCAGGACTAGAACCTGGAGTACCAGCGCCGCAGGTGGAGGATTAGCCTAGTGAGCCGCGGCACTGGCCAAATTTTTGTCTTTTCTACAGTGTTTTCTAGGGCTGCTTTTCACACTGATATTTGCCAACCACTTTGAACTCTTACAGTTTACACATTGGTTTTTTATCAGAACAATGGTATTGAGTTGCACCATGAATGAATGAATGCATATCTGCAGATAGTTTCTCCAGTGATGAATAGTAGGGAGATTTACAGGTGCGGCGTTGGTTGCCTTTACAAAACTAAATCGATCTTCATGGATGGGAATCCTGGCAGTCAACTAGATCTTTAAGTAATATCAGGAAATCTAACCAAGTAGGCAAAACACAGTATCCATGAAATTCAGCATTGGGCAAGAGGTGAGTGACTGGGTAAAAAGGTGATAAAAGAAATAACAAGGTTTGCTTGCATCATGAGAATCCTTGCTACTGATACATCCCCTTGATACTCATTTGGTGAACTGTTCCACCCTTGCTCCCAGCCATGGATTTGTAGGGGGCCAACCTTACTCCTGGCTTCAAGAGTGGACCTGCAGCTCAAGTTGGTTGGTATAGAAATACAGTGCATTTCTAGGGATATTGATTGTTTTAGAGTCTGAACTATGACATATTGACTCTAGACAGGTCAATGAGAGTACTCCAAATCTTGGTACAGAATGTTTTTGGCTTGGTTTTAAGTTGCTGGATCATAAACCTTTGGTGGTTTGTGAAGGAAACCCTGACAACACTGAAGAACCACAGCCAAAAGCAAAATAGGAATTAAGGAAGGAGGGAAGGAAGGAAGGAGGGAGGAAGGAAGGAAAGGTATAAGGGAAGGGAAGGGAAGGGAAGGGAAGGGAAGGGAAGGGAAGGGAAGGGAAGGGAAGGGAAGGGAAGGGAAGGCAAGGGAGGAAAGGAAAGGAAGATGGGAGGGAGGGAAAGAGGAAGGACAATAAAATCCTTTAAATATTTGACACTTGCTAGTCAAAAATAAAATTCATGACTTCAATTTAGCCAAGTTTTCTTTCTTTTTTTGGTAAATCCTTTCCTGTCGCTCCCCCTCTTCGTGGAGGAACGACACAGGACCCTGTGCTGTTCTTTCGTCTGCTCGGCCCTCCCCGGGTTTGCTGCTGGTTCTTCCCGGGTTGGCTACTGTCCCTTCCACCTCCGTGGAAGGGCGGTTCCCCTGGCCACTTTCCCCACTTCTGCGGGGGAGCGGCACACCGCCGGCCGGCTCTCTCGGGGACTGCTCAGATGTTCCTCAGGTGTTCCCCTTAGATGTTCCTGGTGCATGTTGTCTCTCTCCTCCTTTATAGTCCTCTTCCACCAATCCCAACTCTGCTACCCACACGCCGAGTACGCTGCTCTCCTCCAATCAGGAGCAGGTCCTGCTGTTTATTGGTTGAACTGGAGGCAGCTGTGTAGAAGTTGTTACTCACTTCTCAGCACCATATTGTGGGAGAGCAGATGCATAGAATAAGTCTTAATTCCAGTAACTTAGTCTAGTCCGAGTTGCTCCCAGTTGTTCCCCACAGATCCCCCTTTCTTTTTATTTTTGGCGTTGATACGTGCCTGTCTTCGGTGCCCCGCGGCACACACTCTGCTCTGCTTGCTAGAGTTGCCCACAGGTGCTTACAAGCCCTACCAATCAGGCAAACCGAATCCGGGTCCTCTCTTCGCCATGTTGTGAGGAGGTTTTTAGGTGCTGATGCGTGCCTGTGTTCGGTGCCCTGCAGCGGATGCTCTGCTCTGCTAGAACTGCCTGCAGGTGCTTACAAGCCCTACCAATCAGGCAAACCGAATCCAAGCCTTCTCATTGCCGTATTGTGGGGAGACTTATTGGTGTTGATTCATGCCTATCTTCGGTGACCTGCAGCTCATACTCTGGTCGAGCTGCCTACTGGTGCTTATCGCCTTACTAATCAGGCAGATCGAATCCAAGCTCTCTCATTGCTGTGTTGTGGGGAGGCCTTTCTCTATTTCTCTATCTCTGGGCATTCCTATTTCTCCTATTTTACTTCTATCACCAGCATTCCTATTTCTCTCATTTTACTTCTAGACTTCTGTTTCTCTTATCCCTGCGGCTTCCCGGCGCCTGCCCCGAGGCTGCTTCTCGGCGGCTTCCCGGCTCTGAGCCGCTTCAGCCTGCGCTTCTCTCATCTGCGCGGCTTCCCGGCTTCGTGCGCGCACTCCGCGGTCTCCGCGCCCCTTCGCGTCCGCACCACGGCCTCGCGCTAGCCCCGGGTTCCCTATCTACTTGTGCCCCGCGCGCTCTCTCTGCACGTGGCGGCTTCCACGAGTCACACAGCACAGCTCACGTTTCCGCCACCGGCATTCAATCCAAGTTCCCTGGGCTAACCTGGCGAACTCAACCCACCTCACGTCTGCGCCCTTCGGCTTGGCTTCCCGTCCTTTGCTCCCCGGGCTAATCTGACGGATTCCAACCTGGCGGCCCACGTCTCTGCCTCGGGTTCCAGATTTTCGCCTTTTGCTCCCCGGGCTGACTTGAAGAATCCCAAGATAGCTTACGTCTCTGCTTCAGCCTGCACTCGCGGCTTCATCCTCCCTAACATATTTTTCTCTACCCGGTATGTTTCCTAACTTTTCTTCCAACAATATTCCTCCCTCATTTCTCCTGGCTTCTCCCCACAGTCCGTATCCGAGTCTGTTTGTTCTAGCTTTCACTTTCGCTTTCAACCTTAGAGATTTCTCCCAGCTTCCCCCCGTAGTCCGTATCTGAGTCTATGCCTAGGCTTTTGATAGCTTCTTCCGGCACCTTTTCCATCCGGCTTTTCCCTAGGCTCTTTGCTAGTCTCTATCTCCGGTATTTTCCCACTTCTTCCCGTTTCTTCCCTCCTAGGTTTCCTATCCGAGTCACAGCACCATTATGTCGCTCCCCCTCTTCATGGAGGAACGACACTAAACCCTGCCTAGGCTTCATATCCGAGTCACGGCACCATTATGTCGCTCCCCCTCTTCACAGAGGAATGACACTAAACCCTACCTAGGCTTCATATCCGAGTCACGGCACCATTATGTCGCTCCCCGTCTTCGTGGAGGAATGACACAGGACCCTGCGCTGTTCTTTCGTCTGCTCGGCCCTCCCCGGGTTTGCTGCTGGTTCTTCCCGGGTTGGCTACTGTCCCTTCCACCTCCGTGGAAGGGCGGTTCCCCCTGGCCACTTTCCCCACTTCTGCGGGGGAGCGGCACACCGCCGGCCGGCTCTCTCGGGGACTGCTCAGATGTTCCTCAGGTGTTCCCCTTAGATGTTCCTGGTGCATGTTGTCTCTCTCCTCCTTTATAGTCCTCTTCCACCAATCCCAACTCTGCTACCCACACGCCGAGTACGCTGCTCTCCTCCAATCAGGAGCAGGTCCTGCTGTTTATTGGTTGAACTGGAGGCAGCTGTGTAGAAGTTGTTACTCCCTTCTCAGCGCCATATTGTGGGAGAGCAGATGCATAGAATAAGTCTTAATTCCAGTAACAGTCTAGTCCGAGTTGCTCCCAGTTGCTCCCCACATTTTCCTTTTTTCAACTTATATTTAATGAATATAAATTTCCAAAGTACAACTTTTGAATTATAGCAGCTTTTTCCCCCATAACCTCCCTCCCACTCACAGCCATCTCATCTCCCACTCCCTCTCCCATCCCATTCTTCATCAAAATTCATTTCCAATTAGCTTTATATACAGAAGATCAACTTAATATATACTAAGTAAAGATTTCAACAGATTGCACCCACACAGACACACAAAGTATAGAGTACCGTTTGAGTAGTAGTTTTACAGTTAATTCGCATAGTACAACACATTAAGGACAGAGGTCCTACATGGGGAGCAGGTGCACAGTGACTCCCATTGTTGATTTAACAATTGACACTCTTATTTATGATGTCAGTAATCACCCAAGGCTCTTGTCATGAGCTGCCAAGGCTATGGAAGCCTCTTGAGTTCACCAACTCCGATCTTATTTAGACAAGGCCATAGTTGAAGTGGAAGTTCTTTCCTCCTTTCAGAGAAAGGTATCTCCTTCTTTAATGGCCCGTTCTTTCCGCTGGGATCTCACTCACCAAGTTTTCTTTTTAATTTCAGGCACATGCAACTAAGATATGTGTCTCATTTACCAGTTTCTCAAATAAGTGCATGGCAGACAAATCTGGAGTCAGCCATGGTTGAGACCTGGTCAGGCAGAAGTGGAAACAATGGCTATGAATAGCAGAGGTCATTGACTCATGAGCAGGAAGGTTCAGTTTTAATACAGAGTGAGTGTGAAAAGCAGAGCCAGTTTCAATCTGGAAAGCTTGGGGATGTGTTCCTTTGCAATAGAGAAGCATCCTGTCATCATAACAAGGTAAGTAACTGAGAAAAATATCATTCGTTTTTCTGAGGAATAAAAGATACTCTGCCTTCCAGAAATAAGGCTGGCATTGAAGTGAAAAGAACACCTGACTACTGAGCTAGTGTTCCTTTTAGACAGGATTGAATTGTTCCCAGATCATAGCCCAAAACCAAGGAGGCAGTTAGGGGAAACTGCCTCCTGCTATGGAAAAACAAAACAAAACAGAAATTTGACATCAGAAAACACACAAGCATAAGAACTGATAACAGAGGGAGGAAGACATTGGAAAGTAGACGGGTCAGGAGCCAAATATGTTTACTGCATAGTGCCTTGAGTCTGGACAAACTTATCCATTAGACACAGAAGGTTTATAACTAACAATAATTTTAGGGCCCCATAAAAATTTAATTTATTTGAAAATCAAGAAAAAAAGTAAGTTTTTCGGTTGACAGAATCTTTTAATATACAAGTATTTGTCTTTCTAATTTTGTCACCATAAAAATTATTCTATATTTTTGCTTGTTTTCCTCTTATAGAGGAAGAGACCCACAAGGTAAAAGCACCAGAGCCCACAGAAGCACTAATGTTGCCAACCATGGTGCTGTGACAAACTGTGGTTGTTGGGGCTGGCATTGAAGTGCAGTGGGTTAAGCTGACACCTGTGATGCCAGCATCCCATATGAGCACTTCTTCGAGTCCTGGTTACTCCATTTCCATTCCAGCTCTCTGCTAATGCACCTGGGAGAGCAGTAGAGGGTGAGTCAAGTGTTTGGGCACCTGCCACTCACGTGGGAGACCTGGATGGAATTCCTGGCTCCTGGCTTCAGCTTGGCCCAGCCCTGGCTGCCATGACTATTTGGGAAGTGAACCAGTGGATGGAAGATCTCCCCCTCTCTGTTTCTGTGTAACTCTGACTTTCAAATAAATAAATACATCTTAAAAAAAAACCCTCTGTGGTTGTTAGCATCAAAGTCACTTAGAACCACTTCTTATTTCATCTACTGGAACATCTGGAAAGCTACAAGTCCCAGCTTTCCACTTTCTCCTGCAGTTTGATGTGGTTTTGATGTGGCATATGTGCAGTTCCAGCCAATGTCATAGAAAAAAAAGACTCACTAAGTATCATACCTGGAAAAGAATTTGGGGAAAGAAATCTTGCTATGGCTTAGAAAAATATCTGACCCATAGTTAAAACTAGATAAATGATAACTAATAATATTTTGTTATTGAAAAAATCACTTAATAGATAGAACAAAGTTATAACTGCTAATACCAATATTAATTTCCCATTTACCACTTATTTTTTAGAAACCCACGATATTGACTGGCATGGAAAATACAAGGGCAGATGAACATTCCTAAGAACAGCATGCCCTAGAAACCAGCAGTAGATGCCAATCACATTGTAAGCCCCAAGTACCTCTCAGGGTAGGTATTTCATGGTAGGAGCTAAAGCCCATAACTTATGAAATTTTTAGATAATAGTAAAACCATGAGGACTGGTTTATGAGACACTCTAAGGAATTTGAAAACTGCTATTGTTCACAATTTGTGTGGGTGTTTGTGATACACACTCTCCCATCTTTCTCAACTTTGTATAGCAAGAGATCTTGGTTAGTGTTGTGAGAAGAGTGAGTTGGTAGTGGAAGACATCATTTATCTTTATCCACAAAATCAAACCATCCTGAAAATGTTCTTGGATGGCTATGCCAGGGCTGTATTTTTCCATCACTTTCTAACTTACTCTTCCTTTTTTCCAATCCTCTTTCTCCCCTAGCTGTACCAGACATGTTTCATGTTACTTTAGTGCTCACAAGCATTTGTGGTTCCCATTATCTACGTAGAGAAGTTCACTCTCTCCCCCGACACACATCCTCTTTGAAAAATGTAAGCCATTCAGAAAGTAAGTCTTAATCTTAATCTCATCTTGCACTTTGCCTTTGTATGTGTTTTCCTCTCCTACCACTTGGTTCTCTTGGAAGGACCCTGAATACACTACACCATAGCATGCTGTTTGAAGCCGCTTCCCAGTATTTAATCCCCGTTTACGGTTGACAGACTGTTCATGGCCCAATTAAAGTTCCTTCTCCGTTCTTAAAGTCTTTTCAGTCTACAGTGATATTTTCCCCTAGGAACTATTATGACTTCTCCCCCTAAATTGATGGCCTACAGTCTCATGTAGGGAGATAACATGTATAATTTCTTAGCATTCTACAGGAAAGGAAAGAATAAAAATAACTATCTTATACTGTTATTTAATTTTGAGTATGTGTATGTTTCATTTCCTTAGTAAGGTTATAAATGTTTTGAACTTTTGTCTATCTTATTTTATTTGCAAACTCCACAGTGCAGTGTACAGCCATGTAAATACTTGCTAAATAGCAAATTCATTCTCAACGACAGTGATTTTCTTTTTGGAAACCCTAGAGGTGCCCCCACATACTTTCAGGGGATCTGAAATTTTCATGATAATACTAAGATATTATTTTCCCTTTTCACATTTATCACATGTCCTATAGAGCTTTCCAGAGGCTATATAAGTAGTAACATTGTAGCAGACTACCTGTGTAAGCAGATGTGAGAAACCAGTTATCTTTTCCTATGAAACATTTAACAGATTGGTAAAAATGCAAAGTAACACTTTTCTCACTGAATTTTTGAGTTTGAAAATATAGTAATTTTTCATAAATATGTCATTCACAGTGACAGTGACATGTAATGGATTTATCATGGTTATTTTAATTTGAATAAATAAGTAATGAGTAAATATATACTTTATAAATTCTCAATTGGAATTTAGATTTTATTAAATATAGATAAATATAAACCACACCAAAAAAAAAAAAACCCTATGGATTCAGTGGCAAATTCTTTTATAAGCAGCTAACTTTTTTTTTTAAATTTTGTTTACTTATTTTCATCTACTTGAAAGGCAGAACAACAGAGAGAGAGAAAAATCTTCTATCTACCGGTTCACTCCCTAAATGGCCACAACAGACAGGGCTGGGCCAGGCCAAAGGCGGGAGACAAAAATTCCACTCAGTTCTCCCATGTGAATGGCAGGGATCCAAGTACTTGGGCCATCATCCTCTGCCTCCCAGGCTCGTTAGGAGGAACTTAGATCAGAAGTGGTGGAGCTGATACTGCTATGTGGGATGAGGATGTCCCAAGAGGCAACTGAACCCACTGCAGCTCAGTTCCCACCACCAGTAATTCCTAAGAGTGCAGAAGGTCCTGAATCTACAGTGTGAAGACTTGCTGCTCAAGCAGAGTTCGTGTTTCTCTGTGAAAGTTCAAGTCAGGGAGTGGATAACATGAGCCCTGGCAAAGTGAAAGGGCTGAGGGAGACATCACCACGCCTGTGACTAGAGACTGGAGATGCCCAGGACAGAAACTGCAGCGTGTTTCCTGTGATGGACGTGACTTGGCGGTTGAAATGTCTTATCTTCAGGGAAGTTGGTTCAGGTATTTCTTCAACAATAACATGCCCTCACCTTGTTCAACTCCATGCTATGTATTTTAGCTCTTCCCATGAATTAGAAATTGACATAAACGATTGTCTAAAGTCAGAAGTTCCTTATTCTCATCTTATCTTACTCTTACCGATAGTAGGCACGTTTCATGTTCTTTCATTTACCTGCATCTTACGCCATTTTGCAATTTCAGAAGGTGAAGTACAGCACTATGGATTTCAAAACACTGACACTAAAATACAAGAGCCTAATGCCTGCGTAGTGAAGAATATGAGTGTAGCACTCTTCCATATTCCCTGCATGTATGAACTCTCTTAATTCACTAGAAACTTTATGGCATAAATAGTCCTATTACTCCTGCTTCACACATAAGGCAACTAAAGAATGTGGAGATTCAATAGCTAACTGAAGTTACTCTCCTAATAAAGAATGCAGCCACAATTCATACAGGCAATCTGCCTCTGGGGCACCTAGCATAGAATAGTACCTTGTCCATTTTTTTAAAAAATTATTGTTCATTGGAGAGACAGAGAGAAAGGGAGGGGGGAGAAGTCTCTTTTGCAGCTTGTTCACTCCCCATTTGCACACAACAACCAGGGCTGGGCTAGGCCTAAGTCAGGGCTGGAACTCAATCTAGGTCTGCCATGTGAGTGACAAGGACTCCAGTATTTGAAGCATTACCTGCTGCCTGTCATGGTACGCATTAGCAGGAAGCTGGAATAAGAAGAGGATCCCGGATGGAAGCCGGGAACTCTGATATGGGATGCAAGAATCCCAAGTCCCTTCTTCAGGCTGCAGCAAACACTCTGCTCTGCGAACTTTGTGAACACCTGGAGCCCCATTTAGAGCTGCAGTTATTTCTGATGCTCTAAATTGTATGTGAGGCTATGAAATGTGAGACGTTATGACTCAATACTCGCAAGACATTGTTGTAATTGGTAAGCAAAGTTGATGTGGAGGGAAGTGACAAGGATGAAAAGTGCTGAGCTCAGAGATGATTGCATCATGTTCTGGCTGTGGAACTAAGGGTCCAGAAAGATTAACATGGATATCTATTCTTTGACAGCTGCTGTAACGTCAAATCTAGGTTCTATCCCTGCCAGGACTTTGTTCTGGCACAGACTTTTCATCCTCCTGGGAACAGATGATGGGTGGAATCATTTAGCATATAGGGTGTGACTTGCTTTTCTCACCAAATGTTTATTTGTGTAATCAGCCCCACTCATGCAATTAATTATTTTGAAACAGTGTACCTAAAAATCCTCATCCATCTAGCCTGTTCCTCTTGCACAAAGTTTACTCAATGAAGAAACTGCTTTGAGTTTGTTGTATTTTGGGCCTCAGAAATCTAATTGAGTAATGCCAGGAGGTAACCAGATGTGCAGGACCAGCATTAGCAGTGTCCTTCCTGGTGGGCCTTCCCCTGTGAAGGTCTAAGGCCTAAGACACTTGAGCATGCACAGTCTGTTGGTTCAAGGAACATGAGGGGATCCCTGTCTAGGACAGTGAGAAGGGCTCATGGCTCTGGGTGGGGAGAGACACGCACTTTGTAACTTGTTCACTTCCTCTTTGTTTTCCATGTTAAGATTTTTATGGATAAACTCAGAGCTCCTAATGAGTTGTCAAGCATTGCATATTTCTACTTTCCAGCCAAGCTTTTGAGATTTGTAATGGGTGGTATGTGTGATTGAGGGGAAAAAACGAACAAACAGAAGAAAACCAGAAAAGAAAGCGGTTCAATATGGCAACAGAGCTCAGATGGTAACATGCAGAGGTAAGGGTGACCTCCAGTGCAATTCAGGGTGAGTCCCAACACTGGGAATGGTGAAGAAGCTTCTCAATTCCAAGACAGGGGTTCTATTCTTAAGATCTAGGCTTCCAGGATAAGAAATGTAGGAGGAAACAGCCAGTAGATACATTTACGTGCTTGTAGGAGATGCTTACCAAGACTGGCATGCCTAGAAAACTTTATTTAAAATTTTTTTTTATTCTGAAAGGCAGAGCTATACAGAGAGAGGGGGAGTCGGAGAGAGAGAGAGAGGGAGAGAGTGAGAGAGAGAGAGAGAGGAAAAGACAATCTTCCATCCTCTTGTTCATTTCCCAAATGGCTGCAACAGCCAGGTCTGGGTAAAGCTGAAGTCAAGAGCCAAGACCTCCATTCACATTTCCCACATGTTGGGTAGCAGGAGTTGAGCCATCCTCCACTACCTTCCCAGGCACATTAGCAGGAAACTGGATTCAGAAGCAGAGCCGCCAGGACTTGGATTGGCACTCTGACATGGGATGCAGGCATTGAAAGTGGGGCTTAACACAATGCACCACAATGACAGCCCCCAGAACATTTTCTGATTATAGCTTTCACAAAAATATTATCTCTCTGCTTTACTAATCAATGCTATGCCTGTACCATTAAATGGGTTTTATGATCTTTATTAGATAGGATATCTTTATTATATAGGATATCTTATTTGAGGCCTGCATTGTGGCACCATTGGAACACTGGCTCGAGTCTTGGCTTCATACATATAGCAATATTTCTAATTCAGCTTCCTGATAATGTGCCTGGGAAAGTAGTGGAAGACAATCTACATGCTTTAGTCCTTGCTACTTAAATGAGAGACCCAAATGGAGCTCTTGGTCCTGACGGGCCTGGCTCAGCTCTGGGTCGCGTTGTGAGCCAAAGGATGAGAGATCCTTTTCTCTCTCTGTCAGTCACTCTGTGCTCCAAATTATAAATGAATAAATCTTTTAAAAAAGAATATCTTCATTTGGGAAAGATCTATTCTTAGTTCAATTTTATAGGAAAGGAATCTTTAAAGAATGGAAATTTCTCTGTAAGATAAACATGGATACCATGGCAGATACTTCATAAATCATCTCTCTCTAATTTTGAAGATTTAGTAATTATAGTCAATCTAGTTTTCTTTTGGAAACAAAGTTAATACTTGCAGATAACCGTAAAAAGCTTATTAGTCAATAACCTCCCTATGGTTTTACTCTGTTGTGACATCATCATGGTTCAGGTCTGAGAGAATAGTACAATTAATACTCATAAACATGAAATGCAAACATTTATGCATTTATATTGAGACATGTCATTCCTAATTAAAAATATACAGCCTTATTGATATTATCATTACCAGAATATTCAAGTAATCTGTCAGTATAGTTCAAGGGGTGAGATTCACTTTTATTTCTAGAATAAATTTATAAGCACCCTTTAATTAGTTACTTTCCTAATTGCAAATTCTATCTTCTATATATTTGAAATATTCCATGATGTTTTCAAAAACAACTACTAGTTGGAAAAATACCACACTGTGTCTAGTTGGTATTTAAAGCTTTTGTTATTCTCTATTCTCTCATGAACTCAGCAACCCTAGTTGCTTAGCTACCCAGTCTACATTTTTCTCTTGTTAACTTACCAAGTTGAAATTCTCTTTTGTGACATTCAACATTTTTCTTATGACTTTCATATTCTAGCTGAAAGTGATTATATCTGCATCTACTTAAAATTGAGTCCTTAGATTACTGTGCTTTTAAATATTTAACTAAGTTATAAGCACATAGCATTCAGAAGGACCTTCTTTGAAGGAATGAAAACTAACCGTTGGAAAAATAAATGTGAATTTCTTTCTCAAAAAATTTTGCTATTTTAATCATTGCTCATTCTTAGTACAATGATGCTTTTCCTCTGTACATTGGTGATGGTAAGCTGTTCCCAAGGTGTTTCCAACATCTGGCTGAAATTGTATGTAGCACCTGAGAGGGTCTGGCTGGGGTCTTGGGCAGAGCTCTGAGCCTGAGCACAGAGTTTAGAAACTTCTCTGGAAGTGAGCTGAGGCCTACAGGTGCTTTTCTGTGAGGAAACAAAGCTTGGCTGAAGATGTAGTGGAGGCAGAAACTTTGACATAGGAACAGGCAGAGTAGCAGGCTGGCATTTAAAAGCAGGCTGAGATAGTCTGACAACATAAATGAGGGTCCTGTGCATGAGATGGGCCCAGACTAACTTAAAAGGAACTCCATACAAGACAGCAGGACCTGTGAGTGGGACAAGCTGTATGAAGCTTTCTGTGTGGCTGCCAGAAATTGTGGTGTTACGTAGCACGGGTGACTGCACAGGGTGACCCTGCTGTGTCATGCACTGTACCACTATCACTGTCACTCCTCACGCTGTCCCAGAAGGACTTTTCCTTGTCCTACTGTAAGTTTATTTTTGGAATATTCTTATTCTTGGAATATACTTATTCTTGGCATATACTTATTCTTGGAAAATATAAAGCAATATTTAATAGATATAAATATATAAATATATACACATATATAAAGAATTTGTGGATAATTTTTCATAATATGCATTTCTATGAAATTTTTGAGGAGAAATGAGTAAACTGAATAGGGATAGTATACAACCATTGCAACCCATTGACTTTCAGAAATGACAAAGGAGTTGACAGTGAATGGACATTTCTCCCCTTAGAAACTCAGGAAGTAAGGTCATGTAGCTGACATGTCACAAAACCCAGGACAGAGTCTCTTTGGACTGGAATGAAAAAAGACTAGGAGGAAGAGATAAAAGATCCTTGAGCCAAGGAAGTGCCTGGAGCTGGTGCCCATCAGGCCTGGAGTAAGGTCTGAGCATCAGCATCCACTGAGGAAGGAAGCAGATGATACCGGGGACCATCATGCCTTGTTTTCACTCACATGGAATCAAGGTTTCAATGCTATTTAAATTTAAAAGATTGTTGTAGTGGGCACTGTACTTATTGCTTATTTAGTTTCTGAAAGTTTTTTTTTTTTTTTTTGCCTTTGCAACTTTAAGACACATCGTCAAGGTAAAGAGGAAGAGTGGTTTGTTTAAAATAAACAAGGTCAGGGAAGAGATTGGGAAACAATAAAGACTCTTCATCAGGGCTGTGACTAAGGCAGTCACCCACGGAAGGTGAGAGGTGTTGGGAAGACGCCGCCGCCACGTTGGCAGACTCTGCATGAGCTCAGAAAGGTGATAGGGACCTGGCAATGCGTGGGGAGGGAACGCCCTCCACCCAACCCTGAGATACAAATTTGTAAGGGATCTATTACCCAAATAAATTGTTGATCCTTAAAGATAATCCCAGCTGATTAAACGCTGGCTAAGAAAGATAAGTGGCAAAAAGAATGCTCTGTGAAGCCACACCTTTGACATTGGATTGTGTGTTTGATATATTTTCACTCATTCTAAGTTTGTGTCACTTGAAATTTGGTGTTGAGATAATAAGAAACAATTTCCTGATAGCTATATTAAACTCAGTAATCTTCTTCACCTTGCCTAAGTGATTTATTTCCAACTCATTTGATAGCTTTAGAGTCTTGTCTTCAATGGCACAGTTTTAGAGTTTGTGGAGGAAAAGTTTTTTCTCCACACAATTGTGGGGCTTTTTTTTTTTTTTTAAAAAAATTATATAATGAACCTTCTTTTCAAATCCATGCACAGCAGCCTCTTATCTCAAATAATTCTCAGTTGGTCATCACCTCCCATAGATTTTTTGTCTCAGAAGTCTTCCATACATTTGCTGATTAACAGCCAAGTAGTTTCTGCCCACGCTCTGGCTCCCTAGCTAGCCTCTCATTATCTCCTTTTCTGGAAGATTTGGAGGTTGTAATTATGACACTGCTACTACTCAATTCTGCCATTTTCTTGCCTTTTCTAATCGCAATGTCTGCTCATTTGCTCACCAATTATTTTCCACCTCCATCGTCCTTGGGAAGGCCAGGATCAGGTATGAAATATTATATAATCACCCCCGCCCCATGCTCAGATTCTGCCTCTCTGGATTCAAGCAACATAAGACACAGGAGGGTATGCCATTACTGGTGTATACTATGTAATTAGGGCTTGTCACCATTCTTTAAACAACACATTGTACAACCATTTACATACCATTCACGTTGTATTAAGTATTGTACATATACTCGAGATGACTTAAAGTATATGGGTAGATGCATTCTACGCAAAAACTACGTCATTTTATACAGAGGATTTAAGCATCTTCAGGTTTTGGTAACCCATGTAAGTCCTGGAACCAATCTCTGTGGATACTGAAGAAAGACTGCATAGGCTACCTGCACTTCCTGTGACTTGAGGAAGAGTGAGTCCCTAGGACGCTGAAGCCACACTGAAACAACAGGTGTGCCATAAGCAGATGATCCCACTGAGCCTATGACTCACAGAGATTCAGGATATCTGTGGAATTGTAGTACCATCTTTTAGACTCGATATTTAGAGCCAACCCATACCATCTTCTGGAGTCATTAATAATAGTTGTTCTCTGTGATATGAAGGTAATTCTCTCCGTCATGACACACCAAGACTATAACCACTTCAGAAATCTCAGACCAAATGTGTATATTTTTGCGCAGTTTCTGAATACTGGACTTTATAGACCATTTTTTTAAAGGAACAAATTTCCTTGCTTGATTATGTGAACCACTTCCACATAGGAAAAACTGATATTTCCAGAAAATCAGAATGCACAGTACCAAACCAGTCTTTAGGAGGATTCACAGCAGAAGGAAATGACTACAGGTGGGATTTTCAAGACTTTAAAATATTGGCCAGAGTGGCTCCACTTCATTACTGGCTGTTATGCTATAATGGATGGTAAAGAAGCAGGAACATGGAGGAGAAACACAGACAAGAAATTTTCTTAATTTTTATGAATAATCTAAGTGGCATTAGATTAACATATCATCACACTTGAGCATTATTTCAGCAATAACACATTTTGAGAAAATCTTTTTATTGCTCACTATATATAATTTGTTCATATAAAAGCATTATCTTAGAATGTTTGAGCTACAAGGAAATCAATAACCATGTTTTTAAGATTTACAAGAAAGTGGGCAGGAGCTGGCTTTGTGGCACGGGGGTTAAGTCACCACTTACAACATAAGCATCCCATATCGGATTGCCAGTTTGAGACCTGGATACTCTGCTTCCTACCCAGCTTCCTGATAGTGTGCCTGGGAAGTCAGTGGAAGATGACCCAAGTGCTTGGGATCCTGCAGTCCACATGGGAGACCCGAATAGAGATCCAGGCTGCTGGTTTCCGCCTGGCCCAGATTGGGCTGCTGCAGTCATTTGGAGGTGAGCCAGCAGATGGACTATCTCATCCGTTCTCTCCTCTCTCTCTTCTCTCTCTCTCTCTCTATCTCTCTCTTGGTCTCTAGCTCTCCTCTCTCTCCATCTCTCTGTAGTTCTGCCTCAAGTTCCTTAACAAGCGTAGAAAGACTGAGATCCTGAAAACGAACCTTTGCAACACCAACCTCAGTGTTCTGTCGGATTTACATTAACCTATTTTCCAGCTATTCTCCTAGTGGAAGGAAGACAGTTTACTCTGCAAAGCACTCCTGGCTTGTCACCCTGTGCTCTGTCCCACATCTGTCATGTAAAGTGTGGGATAGATGAGGGAGTGTGGAAGTGCTATGAGCCTTACATAAGGAAGCAATGCCATAAATGAGAGGAGCAGATAGGAAGTCCCTCTGGTGCTTGGGATAGGAATATATACTGTTAGGAAGAATTCTCCATGTTCAGTACTACAAGTTCATCTAATACTTTCTCATTGGTCACAGGCATTACCTGAGGTAGCTGCCCAAGTGCGAGAGAATGTTTATGGCTCATGGTCACTTCTCCCAGTAAGATGAAATTTAATGCATAAGGCTATTTGTGCAGTCCTTACATACCTAATTACATGATAGGTCCTACTAAACCATCATCCACGTCTGGACTTTGTTGTATTAAAAGTGAAAAATCAGGGGCCGGAGCTGTGGCGCAGTAAGTTAATCCTCCACCTGTCATGCCGGCATCTCATATGGGTGCCAGTTCTAGTCCCGGCTGCTCCTCTTCAGATCCAGCTCTCTGCTGTGGCCTGGGAAAGCAGTAGAAGATGGCCCAAGTCCTTGGGCCCTGCATCCATGTGGGAGACCTGAAAGAAGTTCCTGGCTACTTGCTTTGGATTGGTGCAGTTTCAGCCATTGCAACCATTTGGGGAGTGAACCAATGGAAGGAAGACCTTTCTCTCTGTCTCTCCCTCTCACTGTCTGTGGCTCTACCTCTCAAATAAATAAATAAAAATCTTTTTTTAAAAAAGTGAAAAATCAGACAACTGAGTACTAGCATAATCTGTATCATTCTGTGCTTCTAAATTGATTTTGTCCAAAGATATTTCCCCCCAGCCAATAGATAATACATTTTTCTCTGTCTCATTCAAAGTTTCCAGCAGAACATGACTGATCTTTTCAAATTCTTAGTCAGACGCAGTACAGTATTCATGAGAAACTGATAGCCCAAAATGATTGGTTTGTTCCCATCCAATGCCCTAGATGTCTTCTGTATTTTAGGAGGAAAAAGATATGTGACATAAACTAATCTTGAGGTTAGAAATTGCTTTCTAAAAGAGATAAATCCTTTTGTATCCTGAATTGACAGCTTGCACAAAATTTCATTTGTTAAAAATATAGTCCAAGACTGGTGCTAAATAAGGGAAACAATGCAACTAACATGGCAATATAAAAAAAAGACTTTGTTCTGGATGTTATCTCATACAATTTTAGATGTATTAGATGAATTTTCAGAAATTTTTTTTGTATAATGGCAGTCATCAGGATCACTAAATATGGAAAAACAAAATGGTTGAGTTTATTCAGTTTAAATTCCTAAATTAGTTAAGTGACTTAATGGAAGAAATTATGAAGACACATGAAATGAAACTGTGAATTTCAATGGTAACTTTTTTTAAGGCACTTCAGCATCTATGGATATAGGTCTTCAAGGTGGTAATGATACGATGCCCCACAGATACTGAGAATGAATGTACTATTACATACCCACTAGAATGGCCAATATGAAAAATATTAATATTAACAAGTATTGGTGACAATCTGGAGGAATTTGAAGTCTCCTACATTGCTGATGGGAATACAAACAGCCATAACAGTAACTTAACCTGTCCACTTGACCTGTTCATTTTTTTGGTGTGTGCTTTAAATCTCAATAAGATACAAGTACATGATCATATTCACACATAGAAGTGTAATATATTTAGAGTCAGTCATGAGAACACTTGAAGATGAGAAAGAGGTCCTCTCAGAACTGAAAGACTAGTTACAATCTGGGATGCTCCTCCAACTTTCTCAACAGTAGACATGAAACACCCCAAGTGTTCCAAAGCTAATGTCATTGGACCTCTGGAAAATGTCCTTACATTTATGAACGAAGTCTGGGCCTTTAGGAAAATTGAAGAAACCAAGCAATTTGTTCCCATTTTAGTTCTCAGTTTTCTTTGGGATGTAGGTTAATGATTGTATAGCTCAATGGTATGGCACAAAGTGATATTTGTTGTGTTTTCAGAATGACTTCAGTAGGAGACCCGGGAAAACATCCCATCCCTATTCCCCATTTCAAGTCTTACTGCTTTTCCTATTGAAATATCTATAGACATACGACATACTCTTTTGTTTCTACCTATGTTAGAATAATGCCTCACTTTTTTTTTTTTTTTTTTTTGGACAGGCAGAGTGAGCAGAGTGGACAGTGAGAGAGAGAGAGACAGAGAGAAAGGTCTTCCTTTTGCCGTTGATTCACCCTCCAACGGCCGCCACGGCTGGTGCGCTGTGGCTGGCGCACCGCGCTGATCCGATGGCAGGAGCCAGGTACTTATCCTGGTCTCCGATGGGGTGCAGGGACCAAGCACTTGGACCATCCTCCACTGCCTTCCCGGGCCACAGCAGAGAGCTGGCCTGGAAGAGGGGCAACTGGGACAGAATCCGGCGCCCTGACCGGGATTAGAACCCGGTGTGCTGGCGCCGCAAGGTGGAGGATTAGCCTATTGAGCCATGGCGCTGGCCGGAATAATGCCTCACTTTCTTATAGTAAGGAATGTGAAGGTAGCTTGCTGTAGAAACACAGAAGGCAAAACAAACCTGGGAAACTGGGGGATAGCTATCAATTTGCTCATGGAGCCATCTCTAATCCTTAACATAGATGGTTGTTCTTGTTCTTTGCTTTCTTCTTGAATTATTTTCTATTCTTTTCTTCAATAAAATATCAGCAAGATATTTAAATCTATTTAGTAGATGGTAAATGGAAAGTACTTTGTACTTGCATTTTGATTTAGTTGCTAATAAGGATCTTATAATAAATTTAAAAAGTAATACAGGTGGAAACTTTTAAATATGTGAAAATTTAGCTTTTTGCTTATAATTAGGAAGCACAAGGGATTATTTCTAGCATATTGGGATTGATTTCCATGGTAATGTGCTCACAGTTATATGTCATTGTGCATTCATTATGACCATTAGATCTGTACTCTACCTAGTAGTGCATCTTAATGTATGCACACTAAAAATAAATCCATATATTAATCAGGAGATCAGAGATTATAAGACAGAATGTAAACTGGCAAAAGATTCTAACAATATGACACATGTTTAACATAAACTCATTGAAGGAGAGAAAAAGGCTCTGATTTCAATTACCTGGGAAAATTGTGATTCAACTGGAAACTATAAGACTAAAAATAAAGGAAAATGTATGGGAACTTTGTACTCTAGCTGATAAAGCTTTTTTCTCAAGGGTTATGGGTTACCAATTCTGAAACTGCCGCATATTTGTACCGAGACTGGGTAAATAGTTAGAGGATGGTGAGGGTGGGAGCCAGGATTCTCATTACTGGAGTAGGAGGTTACAGATAATACAGCAATAAGGCTGGAATGAGCCATGTGATGCTGGAATAAAGTCAGAGACAGCAGTGTGATCTCTTGTTTAACTTATATAGGTAGGAACTGATAAATAAAAGAGTAGCTACAGATATGCATGTATACCTGGCTGAGAACCAATTCATGTATTTTTCAGCTGTTTGTTGAGAAGGGTGAGAAGCAGTGATATGCCATGAGTACTGAGCTCATCTTGTCCTAAGACATTTATTTCTAGTACCATTCTTCTATAATAGAAACTAGGGATCCTGACAAGCTGTGATAGAGAAAATAAAATATGTGCCTGGAGCATCTCATAGTATGAAAAAGTAAGGAGATACGCAACAAAACAATGCAGATATGCAACTGCTTGAGCTCTTGATAACAAAAGGTGAGACAAATTGAGCAAAAATAGTACTGTAGAATGCTAACATGAGGGGAAATTGAGCCAGGGTATACCTAAACACACTGTGCCATCCTAACAACTTTTATATAAATACAGGACTATTCTAAAATAAAGACAAGTTTATATAAGAATTAATTTGCTAGAAATTTTACATTGTGTTTATAGTTGTTCCCAATAATTGGGAGAAAATATGAAGTGGTGTCAATACCAGAGGAATAAGAATGAAAATCCCGTTCTGGGGAGAAATATGAAGAACAAACAGCAGAAACAGCTTTTATAGTATCTTGTTTTTAATTTTGCTGCCCCTCTAATCAGATAAGACTATGTTGTTAGCTAGGTTAAATCATATTGGCTATAATTTATCTACCGTGTAAATTATGCCAAAGGAAAGGGAAATAATTTAGGATAAAGAGTTGCTGTTTCATCCCATGCCATTTTAGGAACTTGAATCTAAGCAATCTGGCTTGGTTCCTTGACTTTAATACTTTAACTTAGTGTAAATATAACATTTTCATCCAGGGTATTTCTGTGTCACCCAGAGAGTGGAGGAAATTATTAGTTTCTCAGGATTTGGCTAGGATGACAATTCTTATTGTCAAGAAATAATATAAACTTTCTGAGGACATGAAAATCTCTCTCTCTCTCTCTCTCTCTCTCTCTCTCCCTTTCCTTCTTTCCTTCCTTCCTCTCCTCTCTCTTTCTATCTTTTGTTCTTTTTTTTTAAAAAAAAGAGATATGTAACTCTTCTTAGAAAATAAAATTGCAACTTCACTGATAGCAGAAAATAGCTGTTTTGCATTTCAGACTCCCTGGGACTTTTCCAAGTAATACTGAGCACTGTGAGAGGGAAGGGAGAATACAATTATACGCCCTGCCCAAGGGAGACCCCGTCGTCTTGCTTCTCTGAAGTGACATGGCAACTCCAGTCAGTCTTCGGTTATAAAACATTACTTGTTTACTGCAAACACCCTCGAGTGAATTTTCAATAC